TTCTGAAGATACCTTCTAACAAACATACAAACATTTGCATTTATAATATTAGTAAGAAGTAAGTATTACCACAAACAGCAAGTTTTTTTTTTATTAAAAGTGTATAAAAAATAGTACTAATAAATTAGATTAAATTACGACATGGTCTAGATTATCATATTGTCACGAATTATCTTAAAACCTATTCGTCTAGAATGATATAAATTACAAAAATATACATGTTATTAAAACCAAAAACAAAAAAACGATATTTAAAAAAAATTTAAACATGTTATTTTTTTTATTCTAAAAATCGTTTAATATACATTTTATTATTCCCACTATTCTTCTAACTAATTATCACTAAATAAGAGTATATATATTTATATATATATATATATATATAAATACTAGCTGTTGCCCGCGACTTCGTCCACGTGTATATATAATATCAGCTCTTCAAGGCATAAATTCGAAAAAAAAATTAAAAAATGAATAAATAGTATCCTATGTCCGTCTCCTGGCTCTAAGCTACCTCCTCACCAATTTTCAGGCGTATCGGTAAAGCAGTTGTTGAGTTATAAATAGTGTTACTAACACCACTTTCTTTTATATACGAGTATATAGATATAAATATACTATAAGAAAAATTGTCAAAAATCGCGTTACCACCTCACGTGGAATTAAAAACGTGATCTTATATTTATCTATTATCTTTATTTTTCGAGTATTTGTTTTTGAATTTTTCGGTTCACACGTAATTTTTTGCAGTATAAAATTCTAAAAAAGTAGTTCTAATAACGTTTTATCATTCAATACGACAAATATATTAATGTTTTTAAATTGGATGGATGGATTTTTGTTAGTAGGTATTTCCAGAAAGGCTGCGAGGATCTTAATGAAACCTATAGATGTCGGACATAGTCTGGAAGAACACACAGCCTACTATTTTTTTTAATCTCGCCGGAGACATAGCGACAGCTACATGCTTCCAACTAAACTTAAAGCTTGTACTATATTGTTTAAAACTAATCGAATAGCGGTTTCGAGTCCATGACATCTAGTTTGTAAGCACCCTTAACTATATAGCAGTTGGTTGCTTGTTTTTGCACATTATTTTCTCAGTGCTATCATAAAATAATATTACAAAACGTGTGTACTGAGTCAGATCTCTACATTGTATGTGTAGAGTCCGTCAGTTTGTCACTTCGTTTCATCAGTCGTTTGGTAAACACGAAGCATAACAGACGTGTAGACATCAGGTTTCAAAAGTGAAATTTCGGTACGCGGTCACGTCTTACAAATAAGGTAAGGCCAAAAGACAGTGTGCCATTTTTTAAATTTGCTTTCGATAACTTATAGTATTTACACATTACATTTCTTTTACGCAAATTTTAATATTTTGTTTTATATTAAAAAAACATTTTATTGAAGTATATTTTTTAAATTGTAGTTTCTATGTTGTGTTACTACTTTTTTAATTTGATATTAATTAAAATAAAATAACTTTTTTGACATGCAGTAAAAAGCTAAAGTACGTCAACGTCAGTGACTTGCTACATCTACCTTAACTAAATTAAGAATTCATCATCAGCTCACTATACGTCCCCACCGAGGGGCTCGGAGCCTACTCTAAGTTAAAGTGATTAGACCATAGCCAACCACGCTGGCCAAGTGCGGGTTGACTTCACACATATCTTTAAATTTCTTCTCAGATATGTGCAGGTTGCATCACGATGTTTTCCTTCACCGTAAGAACGTCTTATAAATGTACATATGTAAATCGGAAATCGAAAAACACATTGGTACATGGCGGGATAGAACCCAGGACCTGCAGATTTGAAGTCAAGTGCTTGACCCCTGAGCTACCGACGCTCTTGAAATTAAGAATACGTGAGGATTTTATTTGATTTGTTCAATACACTTAACCAAAACATAAGATAAATGATGTTAGGATTTCTCCAACGGTTTATCTTCAAAGAAATTTGTCAATGACGTAATCGAAAACTTTACTTTGAGAAGTTTAAATGCGAAGTATGTTTCGTTGATAATGGTTAAGTTATATAACAAGTCAATATTACGTGTTAAGGATTCATATATTTATTGATTAGTAGCCGTCGCCCGCGACTCCGTCCGCGCGGAATAAAAATAAAACATAATTAGTAGTCTATTGCTATTCTGGAGATACGTTTAAACAAACATACATCCATCTAAACGTTCGTATTTATAATATTAGTATAAGTATGATTGATATAAAATGTTTAACATAAAGAACTGTGTAAAATATAAGAAAGTATTGATCTTATTTATTGATTTTTAATCTTACTAATATTATAAATGCGAATGTTTGATTGTATGAATGGATGAATGTTTTACGTTATCTCCAAACTGGCCGCATGAATCTCAATACGTCTGGAACAACACAAAGGCCACTTACTCAGCTTTTTATAAACGGATTCGCGAGCAAAAGCTTGTATATTTGTAATTCTTTAAACTTATTATTACATATTGTCATCTCTTACATTCTCTTTGAAAAAACAGAGACAACAATATACTGTATTAATACAAGAGTTACGGCAATGGAAACAAAGCAAAGGTTAACGCGCATTCGTCAACGCCTTGCCCTCACACCACCGACTCCACTAGCGATCGCTGCGACAGACTCGCTGCTGCCGATTCAGCGGAATAAAAATATGAATTTGTTTGCCCAATAGTATCGGGTAGAAGAGAAGTGGATGAATGCACGTTAACCTTAAATAGTTACTAGATTATTTTTAAAGCAAACAGTTTGATAACCACTGGTCTAGGACGATATATGTATATGTATTCACAGTTAGGCGTTAGCGAAGCGACGTGTTTTGAATTCAAATATTTTAGTGATTGTACAACCAATTAGCTGTTGCCCGCGACTCCGTTCGCGCGGAATTAAATAAAAAACATAATAAGTAGCCTATGTGTTCTTCCATACTATGTTCTGCATATGTGCCAAATTTTATAAAGATCTATTAAATCTAAACATCCATTCAGCTAAACATTCGCATCTGTATATATAAAAATCAATTGCTGTTCGTTAGTCTCTCTAAAAGTGGAGAACGGCTGAACGGATTTATCTTATCTTGGTCTTGAAATGTTCGTGTAGGTCTAGGGAAGATTTAAAAGGCGAGATAAATTCGAACACGCGGTCGGAGTCGCGAGCGACAGCTAGTTCGCAATATTATAATAGTAAGATGTGATACTCCCTTAACTTTTCGTCACGCTTACGTACCCTTCAGTAAGGAAGTACACGGTAAAGTACCTTTATTTATTTATAATTGACCAACCAGTAGCATGCATAATGAGTAAATTGCAAAGATCATACAGACCACAGATAACTAAAGTTTTTTTATACTGTGGTAAAAGCACAATATATATGTTTAAATTGCTAAGCTCTAGGTTTTTAAATCGATTGAAAATATAGTTAGTCATAGCTTTAATATTATATTCGCTCGTATAATGCGAATGTTTAGATGGATGGATATTTTAGAAGGTATCCATAGATCGGTTTAACGGATCTCGGTGAAATTCGGCATAGATATAGAACATATTCTGTAAGAATAGGCTACGAATTACTGTTGTTTTTAATTCCACGCAAACGCAGTCGCGGGCGACAACTTGTAGTGAAAATCTTATATATAAAATTCTCGTGTCACAAATTTCGTTCCCATACTGCTCCGAAACGGCTTGACCGATTCTCATGAAATTTTGTGAGCATATTGAGTAGGTCTGAGAATCGGCCAACATTTATTTTTAATCCCGCGCGGACGGAGTCGCGGGCGACAGCTAGTATAACTTCACAACAACAATAAATAAAATAACCTCTTTTTTTGTACGATATAACTTTTAACAATACATCTTTTGTAATCTGTATGTAAAACAATTGAATAAATCAAATCTTTAATTAACCATAGTCTGCATTTGTTTTGACCCAAATTAGAATGTTAGTTTAATTAACCGGGATTAAAAAGACTCATTTTTGTAAGTAATACACAACATGTTTACACGCAATTAATCGCGTAGTGGAAAGTGATATTAACATCGGTCTGTCCTCGGCGGTATTTCCAAACCAATACGACTTAGGGTCCTTCAAGAAGCGAGCCTATCACCACCTCCGAGGCCGGCAACGCATCTGCGGTTCCTCTGGTATTGCTGATGTCCATGGGCGTCGTTGAACACCTCGGTGTTCCCGCTGCTCGTTTGCCCCCTACTGTTATAAAAAAAAAATATATTAACATAGAGGTACAAAGCAAAATGTTGTCAATAAATTTTATCACAGCTGTATACTCTCCGTTTCCAAATGGACTTAGGCTAAACCAAACTTTAGTAAATAAGATAAGATGCAAAATAATAATAAGAAAGGTAGAAAAACGTCATAAACTTTTTTTTTATTTTTATTTTATAAAAAAACAAAACAGGACTAATTTGGCTTACTTATTTTGTACCTTTTTTTCTTTCTCTTTCAGCCATGGTTGTCGCTGAATATTGGAAAGCGGACTACCTATTCTGGGTATTCCCCGCGATGATAGCCGCCGGCCTACTCAGCGGCATCGGTCTACTACTTATTCTACTCAGTATTAAATTCTACGCACGGTATACTTGTGGGATGTACAAACGAAAGACTAAAATGGATGGGAAGATGGTTATAATAACTGGCTGCAACTCTGGTATAGGCAAGGAGACTGCTAAAGACCTGGCCATGAGAGGTGCAAGAGTTATTATGGCTTGTAGGAATATTGAAATGGCTGAGAAGGTCAAAGGTGAGTTTTCCTAAATGCTATTGCCCACAAAAAATTAAAAAAACAACTGTGTTAGTCTATGCGCGATTCGCTGTAACTGTAACCATTCTCTGTATTAAATTTCATTCAGTTTAGATCAGCTGTTTTGAAATTAATTTAACTGCAAAATTCTATCTATACTATCGTATTGTTTTCTTAAATTACAGTTTTTTTCTTGAGTAATAATTTTTTTCTTTAATTTCCAGATGAAATCATCGATATAACGAATAATAAAAACGTAATAGTGAAGAAATTAGATCTCAGTTCATTCGCGTCTATTCGCGCCTTCGCTCAAGACATAAATACTACTGAACCTCGTTTAGACGTCCTTATCCACAACGCCGGTTACGCAGACCTTCTTAAAAAAAGAAAATCAGCTGATGATATTGAATTAACACTGGCAACTAATCATTACGGACC